AATTCCGGTTGCCACAGCACTCATGTACTTGAAACACCGTTGGATTCCATACAAAGAGCAACCCACCTGCTTTGCCTTCCGCATCTACTGCCATATACTCAAAATGGTCTTCATGCCAGATGGATTTTACTACTTCGGTTGTGATGCTTGATCTCTTTGTTTCTTGTATCATCGCTAAGCTAATTTGCCTCTTTGCCAAACTACATTCCATGATTGTATCTTCATAACAAAAATGGTTTACCCCTCAAAACTCCTAGAGCCTCACTGCTCAATTTTCTTCACCTCCCCTTCTCACCTCTTTTCTTTTATCTGTGGCCTCCAATTCCTCTAGCTTACTCATCACCTCCCCCTCCTTTCCATCACAGTCTACCCCCAAGACTTTTACAATTTGAATTGATGCTTCTGCCTTTGATATCCATAGACATCCTCTACTAGACTTGCTGACCATGGATAGTGAAAGAGCAGCTACTGCAGATCTGAAAACTGCCCCTTTTCGTAAATTCATTGTAGACTTTAGAAATCTCTTTCTCAGCTTATGCAGAATCCACTGCCTCAGAGTTTTCTGTCTTCTGCTTGCTTCTCCTATCTCCTTTAGCTTATTCCTACGGATAGGGGCAGAGTTCACCTTATTTTGCAATGCTTTGGGCTGCTCCACCCTCTTAACCTGTTTAGTAATAGAGTGAAGGCTATGATTAGCCCAATTACTTGAGTTTTCAGCCCATTGGGCTGACCCCTCCTTGCTTGACTCCAAGTGGACCCTATTTAAATCCACCTCTAAATTAATCCCCTACTGTAGCCCAACAGACCCATTTAAACTTTTTATAAAACCATATTTGAAAACCTCATCATCACCTCTACAGCTATCCTCCTTGCATGCGCCACCTCCCTCTGGCTCCCCTAGACAGAGCCTCCTGACAGAACCATCCTCACGTGCAGCGCCTTCCTCTGAACCACCCATCATCAATTCTGACTCCTCCACCACCGAGAGCTCCCTCAATCTAGCTTCCTCATCCATGTCATTACTGCAAACATGGGGTATCTGCCTATCCCCTTCTGCCACTACACAACCCTTAGCCACCTCATCACCTACATGTACTGCCACATCATCATCTTCTTCCTCCTGTCTGCTACCTCTATCTACAACAGTGTTTTCTACTTCCTCAAAGCTGGAACTAACTTCATTATTCCTCATAAAGGATTGACAGATGCACTGTTCTTTCACTATTTTTGAAACTATGGTTTGTTCCTCACAAATCCTTACTGGATAAAATACACCATTACACTCCAGGTTGATTGTGTGATTAATGGTGTCCACACATCATGTCTCTATCTTTACTTTCCCACAGTGGAAAGTTGACAGATTAATTGTGTCCTCATCCATTTCAAGAACTTCACCCCATTCTCGACCAATGTTACAAAAAGTGTTATTATTCCACAGGATCAATGGCACCCCATAGCAACTGATCCACACCTGCCTCACCTGTTCAAAGACCATGCCTTCTTCCCACTCCTCTACCGAATCACACCAATCATTAAGCCATTCCTTCATTAGCAATAAATTCTCCCTCATAGTTTCCACTGATTGAAAGGATAGGATTATTTGCCTACCACCTCCTATTCGAACTTTGATATCACCATACCCATGTCTGCATATTTCATCCTTTAGATCAGCAGCCGAGAGATGAATTTTTACCCTTGCTACTGCACTTTCAAACAGCCATCCTTTCCTTCCTCTCTGAACCTTTACAGTGTGGACTGAACTGGATTGAAGAACCCTGTCTCTGACCACATCAGCATAGGACTTATTCCTTTGATAGGCGACATTTGCAGATTGATTACGTTCCCTTTTTCTCCACTGTTGCACTGGAAGTGCCTTTCTTGCCCTTTTATCATATTCCTTCCGATACTCAGCCATTTTAACTTTTAGTGCTTTATCGTCACACCAAAGTCCATTTGCTTTTTGCAGAGCCATATCCACTGCTACCGGACAATCATACCTGATAAACCCGAATCGAGATCCTGTAGATCTATGTAGCACGGACACGGACACGCGACACGACACGGACACGACACGGACACGCAAAAATGCAAATTTTTTAAAAATAAGGGACACGACACGCTGGGGACACGTTTAATATATATATATTTTTTATTTATTATATGTAAAATTAAAAAATATATACTAATTTTATTTTTTTATTTTATTTATTATATATAAAATTAGAAAATAAATATATTATTTGTATTTATTTATATTAGTATTTATTTACAAAAGAAAGACATAAAAAAGAAAAAAAAGAATAAAGGGGGAGAGACAGACATCGTAATAAGAGGGAAGAGAAAATAAAAAAAAAAAGGACAGAGAGAGAGTGATCACTGATCAGCAAAGACGAGAGCGAGAGAGAGTCAGAAAAGCAGAGACGAAAGGGAGGAGAAGAAGAGCAGAGACGAAAGGGAGGAAGACGAAGAGAAGAAGAAGGAGAATATCACCTCAGCTTCTTCGATTGACAGGTTAGGCTTCTTTCTCCCTCAATCTCCTTCTCTGTCTCATCTCCTCCCTCGATCTCTTTCTCTCTCTCTGTCTCCTTCGATCTCTTTCTCTCTTTCTCTGCAACAGTTAGGGTTTCCCTCTTTCTTTGTCTCCATCGATCTCCTTCGCTCTTCCTCTGTCTCCTCTGCAACAGTTAGGGCTTCTTCGATCCACTCACGCGTGTCTGGAGAGTGTCCCGGCGTGTCCATGGCGTGTCTGACTGGAAAATTTAAAAAAAAAAGGGGATACGTTAGAGAGAGTGTCGGACACGTGTCTACTGCGTGTCCGACGCGTGTCCGTGTCCGACACGTGTCCGACACTCGTACGTGAGGCCTAGGGACGTGTCGGTGCTTCATAGCTGCAGATCTTCTTTTCTTGTTTGGAATATACAAATCCAGCACAACTCCATAGTTTGAGAAGATCTTAAATAGCCCTTGTGCCCCCATAGATACTGGTATGTTGTCTACAAATACATAGTACATATTATTCTCCCTCTTCGCCCCACCTCCTCGACCTCCATGTCTGCGGACCACTGGTTGCCATCCTCCAAGTCCAAGCTTACTGGACTGCCCCTCGTACTCTTTGCCCAATCCCCATGGACGCCCACTGGTTGCCATCTTCTTTCTTCTCTCTATTGAAACATGCCACTTAGCAACCTTTGGAGTTGCTTAAAATTCTTCACACACCATAAACATGTAACATTAATTGATTTTGCATACTGATCTACATAGCTACTAGCCAACTAAGGGCATGCAGAAATTGCAGCATCTAGGAACACTAATGTAATGATGAACCAATGAGATAGTAAACAAGGAAATATAGAGAATAGTCCACTGTTGTTCTGAAGAGACCAACCCATCCAGGCAAAAAAATGACAAATCCAAAAAAACAAAAAAATGGAATTATGAATAAAAATACAAAAAGAATATTGGACTTTAACAATGCCTAGAAAATTATTCAAGGAATTTGTTACTTAAATAGGTTGCAAAAAACAATTGCCACAGTACATTTGTAAGAGGCATGTGCAGAGAGAGAGAAAGACTGGCCAGATGTAAATGATAGGTTTGACAAGTTTGTAAAATAAAAACAAATATGACATCAATACCACATGCACAAAGAGACATGCATGTGTGCATGATTAACAACTTGCCTTGCACAGGTCATTCAAAGAAGGTCTTCTGAAATTAGCCTCATCCCCGTGTTTGAAGATCAAAGAGGTGTAAATCACTCTTCCATGATCTAACTTTAGAGCCGTAAGTAAAAAATCGAGAAAATATTATTCAAAGCTATCGGTAGTAAATAGCACAAACTTGGTGTAAGAATAGTTGTCAAATAGTAAATCGAAATTGTCTTTTTCAGAATTGTGAGTCAAATCAAGTCGTGAATCATAAATATTTGGTCATAATTTCTAATTTACATAGAAAAATATACCTATTGCGTTAGATATTAAAAATATATTATATATATGAAAATTTTAGACATAAATCAATGAAAAAGGCTCTAATAGGTAAGGCGCTTCTATGACGGGAAGTGGGATCATTGGTACAATGGTCCCATGTAAGATCACAACCTTTTCTTTTCCCTTTTATACATTTTTCATCAATTATTTTTAATAAACAAAGTAAACAAACCCATACTCTAAATTTCGCAGCAACAATAACTCAATTTCCCAAATCTTCAAACTTTGTAAAAATACTCAATTAACGCCTTCAAAATATTCCTTTCGTAAGTGCAAAAAATTGAATAAAGTTAAATATGTAAGCATAGATTATAGTAGAGAGAGAAAAAAGAGTTTTTCTTCCCTAGGATTTGAGTCTTTGAGAGAGGGAGGGAGGGAGAGACAAAGGATGGAATATAATAACCCTAAAGACCTTAAAAAGATTGTTTCGAACCCTTTTCCAGCAAAAAAACCAAAACAAAAGGGGGCCAAAAATCGAATTCAATGAATTGATCTATTCAGTAATTTAGTTCTACGATTCATCGAGATTTACGATTCATGCAACCTGTTTTTATCGATCACCTCCTGAACTGTATTGAATCATATGATTCAAATCACAAATGTGCAATTCCAAAAACAGATGTAAGAAATTAAAATCAGCTGACAGCTAGTAGCCAAATGGCAAACAAATACATGGGATAACTATATTAACGAAGAATAATACTTATTTCAACTGTCATGCAAATAGAAATATTTATAAGGAAAATTAATATTTAATCATACAACTTAGCTCACCTTTTAGATCATTGTTCAAACTGTGGCCAATTAATATTGTTTTTCCATCCCATAAAAGCTTCATCATTGATTCCTATAAATTCACCAGAGAGAAAGACATTCAAATGCCAACTAACTTTTATTCATTTAGTTATTTTATATTTCAGATGATTTTAGTTATTTATATATTAAACTTTTACCTAATTATATTTTTGGCTGTGCTGTTTGCAATTTACTTCAAAACTAACCACATATTACCTGTACATTAGCCAATGAACAAGTAACTCCATCTAAATCTTCTGCACTAAGCTTAGTAATTTCACTCCTATAGTTTGCAACTGCTTTACTCGGATTTACAAGTTCGTTAAGTTTGACCTGAAAAACTCCAAATTCCAAAACACAACATCAACTTGGGAAGTGAAGAAAATTGTTCAATTGAGACCTCTGAGATGTCTAAAATGGTCAAACTAGTTGCAACATAGGTAATTCTTTTGCACCTATGTTTCTATGCGTGAGGTGAGAGGGAGGTATTACGAAGTCATGCTGCACAAAAATTTGAAAACAAACTCAAATAGTACCTGTAGATTGCGCCCAATAGCACAAACCCTCACCAGAGCTTCAGTGCCATCTTCACAGAGAACCATCTCACAATCAACGGCAAGCATTTTTGGAAATTTCTTTATCTGGTTTGTACTGAGCTTCATTCTCAACCATCCTCAAAGTTAAGAAGAAGACAACACAAATCAATTACCATAAAAAAATCAGTCATAAAGGAAATCAAAAAACTAAAAGAAACCTTCATTGTTTACTAGCCTCATTTGGTAATTCACTGTTTTACTTAAAAGTCACTAAAAAAATTAAAAAGTCAATAAATTATATTAAAAAGTCAAAGATTTTATTATTTCTCTATTTTTTGTACATCTTTTCGTAACAAATTAAAAAGTCATTCCAAACATACTAATTTTTTTATCTCATATTTTAATAAAAAAACTCAAAAATTACTAAACTAGTATGTTCTCAAACGAGACCTGAGAGTAGAAACCGTCAATTAACAATATTAGAAAGAACTTAAATTCCATTAAATACAAGCAAATAGGGCACCTCTTATTTGTTGGTTTGCAACAAATGAACTTACTTGGACATATGTTTTCACTTTGCACAAAATTTATGTTGGACATGAAAAAAACTCAGGTTGGATTTTTTGACACTACATGAACCAGATACAAAGTTGGCCAGTTAGGGTTGACTAGTTAACAACATGAACCTCAAAAGTGACACAATACGATAGCGTGCACACCCAAAAAATAAAAGCAAATTGGGTTAGTGTCAAACCTACATAACTCAAATTTGACATGTCTAATCCGTTTGAAGGTGCTACTGTAGCAGTTCTTGGAGTCAGTTATGAGTTAGTTTTTTGTGTTAGTTTTTTTTTATGATTTTGCTTTTTATTATTGAAAGTCATACTGGTTTGGAATACTGATTTGGCTAATTGTGTTGATTGAGACTTTTTATCTATTTGACTATTTGTGAGATTATTTCAACTTCTACTTTTGTGGATTACTCATGAAACATGAACCTCAAAAGTGACACAATACAATAGCTTACACACCCAAAAAAAAAAAAAAAAAAAAAAAAAAACAAATTGGGTTAGTGTCAAACCTACATAACTTGAATTTGATATGTCTAACCCGTTTGAAGGTGCTAGTGTACAAGTTCTTGGAGTCAATTATGAGTTAATTTTTTGTGTTAGTTTTTTTTTGGGTTTTTACTTTTTATTATTGGAAGTCATACTGGTTTTGGATACTAATTTAGCTAATTGTGTTGATTGAGACTTTTATCTATTTGACTATTTGTGAGATTTTACTTCTACTTTTGTGGATTACTCATGAATTTTTGAGTTATTTTTATGGATATCATATAGTCATTGTAGATGTTGGTGAATATATGTCTACTAAGCTTAAAACTTCTGATTGTCAACAACTTGTTGAGAGAATTAAGAGAATTAAGAGCTGGACTAATAGATGTCTGTCATATGCTGGGAGGTTGCAGTTGATCCAATCTGTCCTCTTTTCCATGCAGGTTTATTGGTCCTCTTTGTTCATCCTCCCTAAAAAGGTTGTGAAAGCTATTGAGGGTCTCTTCCGGGCTTTCCTTTGGTCGGGTAGTGAGCTTAAGAAACATGGTGCGAAGGTGTCTTGGGATAAAGTGTGTTCTCCTAAAAATGAGGGTTGTTTGGGTCTTAAGTCTATGGAGGTTTGGAATAGGGCTGCCATTGCTAAACATATTTGGTTTCTCTTTGTTGTTCAAATTTTGAAATTAAATAAATAAATTTATGAAGAAATCAAATTATATATATACTAAGAACACATGCTAATAATTACAACTAAATTTCAACAGAAATACACAAAACAATAAAAGGGTAAAGAGACGAAACCGAAGCCTGCACGGAAGCAGTTTTCTTAAAACAGATTTCGCCGCCTCACTGGTCAAGTGCTTGAGGAATCCCGGCGTCTGTCTCCCAGGATACGACGGTCAAAACCAGCCATCTGTCTCCCAGGATACGACGGTCAAAACCAGCTACGGCAGAAGCACTCTCTGTCTAGCTTAGCAAACAAAACAGTGGCAGCACTCTCTCAATGTAGGAACTTTTTGGCAAACTGACTTGTGAAATGGAAGTACAAATTTCTGTGTTTGAGACTTGACAGGAGGGTCTCAATTTATACATGTATAGGGGAGAGAGGAAGAGCCTCCAGCTTTTATGGCTGTTCATAATGCACCATTAACCTTTGCAATAAAGGCGGGAGTTACAAACCCCATTAATGCAAGAGTTACAAACCCCATTAATGCTCTATTAAACTCTGTAATAAATGCAGGAGTTACAAACTTAATTACCTTTTTTCCATGAAGCTAACTTCATGAGGTAATTTTTCATTCAAATCTCAATGGTTTTTGACCATTCACAATAGATGGTTGGGACCCACTTTAATATTTAATTAAAGTCACCAAAAAAAACCATTTTTCCAACAATCCCCCACATGAATAAAAATTGACCGAATGACTCAACAAACGAACACCGTTCAACAATAAAGACTCTGAGAGAGAGTACAACGGACTAACCCCGACATCAGAGAAGGTAGCTTTTGGCTTTGAACCTCTCCCAGTGAAAACCTATCGAGTTTACTGGCTGATCAGTGAATATGACATCTTGAACTGCTCTGCCGTTTATGTAAACTGAGACAATAGATCTCACACGGGAATTACTCCTACCACTATTCTGTTCTCACTGGTGTGCCCTGTGTGGCCCTGGACACTAGCCTGGTTCAGCGAGTGGTTTCAAAGAATCTTGGCCTCCCAATTCTTCTAGAAGCGGCCCCACTTCACACTCACATAGGTGACTCTACTTGAGTATCCTGCTATACTCAGCTCAATAGCTTAACACACTAGAGTCATTAAAAGCTCAGCTTAACCTCTACACTTGCAGGTATCACTGATAGAAGGAATGGCTGGAGGTTTAACCTCCTCAGTGACATACCACAGTTACACGCAATTAGGTTGTCCCATTGAACCTAGATCTTGGGATCTCCAGTCAACTAGGTTGGATTTCCATTCCAGTAACTTCCAAAGGCCTTAACCGCATTCCTTTTGACGACGTTTCGACTAACACTCGACCTAACCATTTGGTTAGCGGATCCACAGTGTTGTCCTTAGACTTTACATAGTCTAAAGAGACAACTCCATTCGAAAGTAGTTGTCGTATGGAATTATGACTATGAAGGATAGGTCTAGACTTTCCATTATGCATATTACTCTGTGCCTTACCAATTGCAGATTGACTATCACAATGAATACAAATAGCAGGCACAGGTTTGGAACAACTTGGAATATCTTCAAGGAAATGGCAAAGCCATTCAGCTTCTTCCATTGCTTTATCCAAAAGAAATAAACTCTGATTCCATCGTTGATCTAGATATACACGTTTGTTTGGAAGATTTCCAAGACACCGCTGCTCCACCAAGAGTGAACACATATCCACTAGTGGACTTTGAGTCCTTTATATCTGATATCCAATTCGCGTCACTATATCCTTCAAGCACCGCTGGATATCGAGTATAATGCAGCCCATAATCCCGAGTGTAGCGTAATACCTTAACACCAGCACAATACCCTTCCAATGAGAAGCATCAGGATTACTTGTGTATCTACTAAGCCTACTAACTGAGTAAGCTATATCTGGCCTAGTACAACTCATCAGATACATTAAACTTCCAATTACCCGAGAATATTCTAACTGTGTGAGAACACTCTTTCATTACATTCATCTCTTGGTTTAAAATTGTAGACTTAAGTCTACAGGATGTCCGATGACACATCGATCTGCATCCACTTAATAACTTCTCAGTATTCTGATACCCTATGAGACTGCAGAACTAGTACAAGTTCCATCGAGCATCTGGTAATCTAATCCTAGAATAACCATCTGCAATGCCCATATCGTTCATGGGTCAAACCCTTAAGTTATACAACTTCTTGGTAGTTTTGATCATTTCATCGTTCACTACTATAATGAGCAATCATCACATGATATAGACAACATGCCATAACCCCTGTCAGTGTCTTTGACATAAAACACCATTGTCACTTGTTTGATTCTAAACCCATTTGACCAACTTGACGTTTGTAAACTTTCTATGCCATTCGTTTAGGCGCCTTGCTCAAAACGCATACAAAGATTTGACAAAGTTTACAAAACTTTCCTGCTTTGCCCTGGAGCTGCCGGAATCCTTTAGGTGCTCCATGTAGATTTCTTGCTTCAAATTCCATTTAAGAAAGTTGTCTTTACTCCATTGCGTGATTCTAGCAATTGTGCCAAAGCAGCAATCGCCAAATCACCCATCCGAATGGATGTTATCCTAGTAACAGGTGAGTTCGTATCAAAAGTAATCCAGGGCCTTCTCCTTGTCTGTACCCTTTGATTAACGAGCCCTCGGCTTTTACTTTCAATTGACCCATCGGCCTTCATTCGTTTTTCTTTAAAAATCCATTTGCAGCCCTAAAGGCTTGCAATCTGGAGGAAAATCTACCAACTCCCAGGTGTGGTTTTGTAAGGATGGAGTTCAATCTCACGTTTGATCGCTTTTTCGCATAATGGGACTTCTCAGGAGAAGTCAGCAGCATTCGTTGGAGAAGTTTTGAGGTTCGTTCTCAACGCATATAAATGTTGAAGTTGGACCAAAAGATTGATTATTCCCTACGCCCTTTTACTCCTTCTTGGGCTCGTCTAAAAACCTCAATTTGATCATTCACCTGAATGCATCAATATGATCATCACTTCACTAGCAAGCTCATCAAATTTCTCCAAAGACTTGGAACCCTTGTCATGGGGTTTGGCAAGGAAAAATGTCTTCAAAGAAACATGCATTTCTTGACTCCATGATGGTATTCCTGTGTATGTCTGGGATTTCAGACTTATGTACAAGAAACCGATATGCACTACTATTATGTGCATAACCAATGAATATACAATCTACGGATTTCGGGCCTATCCTAACCCGTTTGGGTGTAGGAATTGCCACTTTTGCAAGACACCCCCACATTCGTAAGAATTTATACGAAGGCTTAACGCCTTTCCATAACTCATATGGCGTCTTGTCCACCTTCTTCCGGGGTACTTTATTCAGAATGTAATTTGCAGAGAGAATTGCTTCCCCCCACATGTTCTGTGGCAATCCAGAAC